CGCGGTCATCCTGGCGAAAAGAGTCAAGTCATGTCCCTAATCATAATATCATAGCTTGCTCTTGATAGCTCGCCGCCAATGAGCTCATGAAAACCCGGAGACATTGATCGTGAAGAGGCTTCCCGAGCCACGTGACCTCCCTCAATTCCTCCTGATCGACCGTGAGTGGCTCCCCTGCCCCGACTCTGCAGGACCGTGCCTGCGTTCATCGATAGCTCTCGGAATTTATTGTTTGTATTACTTGATTAGCTCACAGGCTCAAAGTTTTCCGATTTCCTTGCAAGTTATTTCCGGGCCCCTCTAGCAAGGAGAAAGGCTGAATCGCTGCGGCAGGATATGCCGAGGTATCGATCCCACTGATAAATGATCAGGCGAATCTAACTCATCCTTCCGCCCCTACCGTGCGGAACAGCAAGACGTGGCTAATGATCATCGCCGTAACACGGTACAAAAAACACGCTATTCGCTTCTGTGTGGACTGTTTTGGATGTGCCTGTGTTTGCGCGCGTGAATGTGTGTGTGTGGCTGTGTGATGACCTCCAATAGTCGTTTCCTGTGTTCACACCATGTCGTTGCAATCAGAGCGAGGACGACAAACAGTTGGGCCGTTGTCCGTTGATTTGTGTTCAGCCACGGGGACGAACGGAACACAACGAACGAATCTTATTAGAAAGCCTAGCTCTTCTTTCCCCACCTGCCCCGCCGTCCGACCCAACCTCGCGTCCGCTCAGCGACTTTGTCCACAAACAACCTATTCTCCTTCATTCGCTCACTTGCACGACTTGCTCCGCGAGCAACTGAGTCGACTGCGGTCTGAGTCGGTTGTTGTTTGCCCGCGAACCGCGAGCGCCCAGTGCGCTACCTGAACGGCGCCGCTCGGTTCGTTGCCTGGTTCTTCCCGAAAAACCATAAGCGGAAGAGCCGCACCCGCGCGCTGCAGTCACGTACCATTGTCATTTGGCATGCACCAGAGCGACAGGAGGCGTCGCTGTCTCCGTATACGGACTCCCTCTGGCGCGATGAGTCTGTCGAGTGAGAGTTCTTGACGTCAGACGGGACAGAGACACATATTCGGTTGAACATTTAACACGCCCCAAATCGTCGAGCTCGACAAGTTTTCCGCGACTCATCTCCCGGGAGCTCCTGAATGGAAATATTCTCGGAGTGTACCGATTCTAGGTAATCCAGATGAGGCCCTGGATTACTCCGGAAAGTTCAATCGATTTTCCGGAGCAGAAGTTTCTGCTTTTCCTACCTCTAAAAATCCCAATATGAGAGGGATTCAAGCCGGTATCCATCCAATACCGTCCTATGTGACCTGAAAGGAGAAAGAACCATCAGAATCTTACGAAGGAGCTGCGTGCTCCATTGAGTGAACGACCTTGGTAGAGAATGAAACAAGGGAAGCGCTGGTCAATAGATTCATTGTCAGCAGAATTTTCCCAGGTGGCGACACGCTTGATGATTGAGCGATCGGAATGTCTTCCGCTCCTTTGGGATCTCAGATCCAGTCTTCTCTACGTGATATATATCCCCGATCCGAAACGAGCTAATTGACTCACGTCCCATCAAGGCAACGAGAGCTCGTCAGTATCGTGTATCCTGAGGATACACCAACCCGGGCTTTTGAGGCCGAAACAGAAGTTTCTTCTCGGTTGCCAGAATCTGAGCGATTCGAACGAAGTCAAAGGGAGTTCAGTGTGTAGCAAGATGAGATACAGAGGAAGTGTGTCCCGGCTCCACAATCGGACGAAGAATGCGAGGAACGTCAAAGAATTCGTATGAAAGCTGCCTGGGAAGGGAGGTGGGTTTGTTTTTGTCGCCCAATCAGCAGACTTCCCGGGTCGCTCAGCGAATTCGAGTCGGTCGAGAGCGCGCCGCCGGTGACTGATGTTCCGCAGACAACTTCGTGGCCCAGGAGTGTCGTGAAATTTTCTAGTTGAGAAATGTGCTCTCCATCGAGAGATGAACAGCGAAGCACTCAGTTGGCAACACCTAGGATTCGCGGTACCGTCAGCCCTCCGCCTGTGACTTCGGGAGGATGAGGGGGTAGACGCTGCTCCTCTCGGGTCGGGACTCGGTGGGGGGCCCAGTCGACAGGGATGAGGAGAGGCGGGGTAATCGTAATTTTTGAGCTGAGGACGTTCCAGTGAGATTTGATACAGAGGAGAGTTCATTTGTCATAAGTGGAATTCACTAATGGAGCCGTTTTGGCGAAGGAACGCCGCCGTGGGTCGCTGATTCCGGTCTCCGGAACGCGCGATATCCCTGATCCGAGTGTCCCTCAACCGAGAATTCCCAGTCCAACTAGCCGACTGGGATTCCTCGCGAATCTTCGGTCCTCTCTTTTGAAAGCTCGGTTTTGGTTCGGGGCGAATTTCCGATCCAAAAACTCCTGCAACGAAAATCAATTACAGTCTTGGCTATTGAATCTCGTCGCAGCTCATTCATCGGCTCGCTCCTCTTAGGCACCCGAGATTCCCCGTCCGCTGTATTCATTTTCCATCCAGTATGGCCTCTATGCTAAATGACCGCAGGCTACGACCGCCCGCCGTGGAGTTTGAAAATTTACATTTTGATTCTTCCGACATTAGTTCGTGACTTCCTCGAGAGTGCCTCCTTTCCTTGTTTCTAGTAATGAGAGTCGCTCTAATCAGATCCTCGTTCCTATTGTTATCTTCGAAATCACCAAAGATTCTCCCAAAATCGATGAAAGCTCGAACCGAGCATGCTCGCTCTTCCTTGCCGATGACTCCATTTTCTCGACGTGAACAAGCCCGAGAGAATATGTCAGGTGAGTAGTCATGAGTCATGAGAGACCATTTTCCGAGGAATTCTGGCGACATGCCCCCTAGACTTCCGAAGGCATGAGTCGATTCAAGAGGGATGCGATGTGTTCGATTGGTCAAGGCTCGGAGCTCATCGGCGGAATCACGGAACCATTGGACGCAACAATGTCGCTCAACGCAGCCGTAGCTCGCGGCCTTCATCCCCATATCGGAATATACGCATCGAGAGCTCCCTGATCTTATTTGGCCTTCAGACTGTGGGGTGATCCAATTATTGCAGATGCCATACAGCTGCCTCGGCTAGGTCTCATAACTCCATTATCAGCCAGCTCATCCTCGTCCTCTGAACGGGGGAGCGGACAAACGCACAGACAGACAAGCAACGGCATTCTTTCCGCCGGCCTGCGATATAATCTGTTCCGACAGGAGTCTGGGCTCATGAATCGAGGGCAGTACGGCGAATTGAGTAGAATATCGATGATGTCATTCAATATCTCCCCACGAATAAAACATGAATATATCTCCAAATCGATATCCGCTCATAAGGACGCCGGAGCACGAGTATGATCTTGATTTCGGCTTCTTTTCCGACTTTCTATAACATTGTCCCGGGATCTTTATCACCACCGATCAGTGGTACAGCGAATTCCGAAATCGCCGCTGGCGGCTCCCTCCGCCGACATCTCATCAAAGCATCGTTCGCGGCTCGATCTTGGTCCACCGAATTTCGAATCGAGCAGAGAGAACTGGAGTTCGGGATGGAGCTGCGATTCGAGCGAGCCCATGGGAATTTCAAGAGGATAGGGACCGGCACGTTGCCGTGGTCCACCATGCGATAACCTGCCGTTTTCTCGCTATATCAATCAGCAAGTCGAGCGAGTCGTTCGACTCGGTGAAGAAGAAAATCTACGCGAGGATCCAAAAAATCGCGAATATTACCCCGTGGACGATATCTTGAAGTCAGGATCGGAGAAAGAATGCACGACATGGAGAGGGGGTCCGTGAGATGGGCGCTAATGGAAGCATCGACCTCCTGATTGATAAGACCTAAGTGACACTTCCGCAATACTTGTAGGAATGGATCCGGATGCCGTAAAGATGGCCACAAGTCCGCAAGACTCCCCACCGAGGAATACCCTATCATCATCATAATCATCATCATCATCGATAGCTATCAAGCTATCGAGTAAATCATCTAGTAAATCGTTTTTACTGGATGAGCTTCGAATCAAGGAGACGATCAGGATTCCGAATCATCACCTTGACTCGAGAGTCGAGAGATTCCGTCGAAATCTTCCCGAAAACATCGTCAAATTATTCCCTCGCTGATTCAGACAAGGTCGACTACCTCATCCAATTTGAATCAGGCGATAGCTCCCTGTCCCCCCGATAGCTTCCTCTCATTCTGCTGGAGTATAGAACCCGAGAATGCGCGTCATCATTCTCGCCTCATCTACCCCCCGAAATCTGAGTTGCCCCCTCTCGACGAAAGTCCTGAGCACATTCCTGTCTATTGTCCATGAGGTGTCGTTGAGTGTCTCGGGTTTTGTGAGCTCCAACCCAAGTGACGCCTCGGGACAGCTCTCGAAGCAGATACAACCGCATCTCCTCCCTAGGCATCATACCGCTTTCATTTCTCCATCGAACGTCCCACTTGTTTGAGGTGGTCGCGGAGTGTAGTTTATTCTCCGGCTTATACAGGAGTAAGCTCCGGGTCCCCAGCGAGCGATGGCGGGAGCCCGTCAACAAGATCCGATAAGGAAGCTCCGGGCGTCTCCAAAAGAAGTGCCGCGACTGCGCTGTCGAACAGTCTTGCCGACTCCGCGATCTTCATCCTCACGGTCCCGCGCACGCTCTGCCGCACCGGACTTGAGCACGCGGTGTTTGGAGCTCAATAGCTTAACATGTGAGATGAATGATACTGCCAACTGAGATAGGAAGCTCTCGATGATCGCTGTGCGCAACCTTCAGGCACTCTGGAGCTCCCACCTGCATGACGCTCTGGAAGAGCTCGTGGTTGATTGATATCCCACGGGCGATGCCGACGATCCTCTTTGGGAACCTTCTTGAGGTCGGATTAGTTTGGGGATCAATTGGCGGAGAAATGACCAGCGCACATGGTAATTTATTTCTCAGTATGTACATATAGGTGCTGAACGGAGCCATTCCTAGAGCCGCTCCTCTCGGGGAAAACCTCGAAGCACACAAATCTCAGAAGTTCGAGGAAACGTAAAATCCTAGGAACGTTATGCTCAAGCAGCGCTGCAGCAAAACCAGCGCCGACTCCCAGAGATGTCTGATATGGTCTTCCGGACTCTCCTCTTTCACGTCTGATTGTATGCCGACTCGGGGAGGTCCATCGTGCGTCTCAATGTCTTCCTCAAGACGCATAACCCGGAGACTCAGGATGGATTCATCTGTAGTAGAGCTCTCCAAGAGTTTTCGGAGCATCCGCGGCATCGGCAATAGAACCGCCGCCCGAGAGTCGTCTAGAATTGAAGAGACTATCGATATCAGAACATTGACAGCCGAAAGAACGAGCGCATCGGCAGAGAGCCTCAGCGCAATCGGCACCTTCGTTGAATCGCTCAGGCTTTCGGAATAGCTTATCGACGTGAGCACGTTGATGAACAAGGATAGAATCATGAGATGAACTTTGGATAGAAGTCTTAAGTTTACCCAGCAATAAGCGACTGTGAGAGCCACACTTATCGCTATCGGGACGATGAAGTTGAGAAAGTGTAAGGAGAAATCCCTCTGGATGTTGACGGTCAATAGCAAAGGGACAGGATGAGCCTTGATTTTCCCCAACGAGTTGAAACTCATCGAGAGGATCCGCCATTCAGGGAATACCGAATCAAATTCGGTGAAGTTACACTTCAGGTCCGCGGAAAGTCTCAAATTAGATTTCATGCCCGGGATGAACGAAGCCGAGCACTCGTGTTCGTCTCGCGGAAAGGACCCCATGTCCGAGTCGCAAGAGAAGGCGATGCTCGTGCTTTCGCAAGCTCTTATTGTTCCATCGGATGTTAAATTCAAGGTGTTTTTGAACTCGACACGCCTTGGTCTCGCAGATCCCCGGAAGTCGTGTTGATATATTTCCGGACAAATACCGGAGTTCGGCCATATCTTCAGGCTGCTTAAGCCGTCGAATTCTGCTTCGTCCCATTGGAGTAAATCGAGACGCCACTTGAGGCAGAGTTCGGCGTCCATGATTGCCTCTCCTGTGATAAAAATCGAAGATCGCACTTTTCAATAGAGCGACTATTAATTCACACTGGGGCTATCCATTCTCCATTTTGGAAACTACACGTTATTGGCGCCCGTGGAATTACCAAGACCCTTCATTCCCTCGGCCCGATTTCAAGGCGCAGGAACAAACCCTCTCACAAGAGAGTGTGATAGAGGTCACATGGAATCTTCCCAAACGGAACGTCAAACAAAACCTTGTAGCCATAAGTAATAACTCAAAGAAATCAAACCTTTGTGCACGACGACAGACGCGATTTTCAAACAATCGAAGGTGAGCTCGACGTCGAGGAGCTCCGATGTGGCCACTGAGAACCGGATCCCTCTCTCAAATCTGTGACCGAGGCCGAGCGATCGCATCAATTCAAATCCCTTGTCTCGGGCTCGACATCCGACCGAAAACAGGAGGAGGCAAGGGATTATTCTGAACATGGCGACCACCAAACTTCCGACCTTCCGCGAGCGCTTCTCTTGTCAGAGAGATACTCTCCGTCAGCATCCGAGGTGGAGGCGGGTCTCCCTCGACGAAACACCCACTCATTCCTTTTATTAGACTTCCGACATTCCGAAGAGACGCGCGTGGTATTCAGCTCTTTATTCGGCAAGTCTCCTTGGCGGCATGCGACTTTTCCTGAGAGGTTTCAATTGGGTGAATTCTATCGAGACTACATTTTCATCACTTTGGAATATGATCGGACAAGATTTTTCTAGAAGAGATTTCTTCTGAAAAGAAATCACTCGAGTTCGGAGAGACTTGCACGCTCATCCAGGGACGCCTGATCGAGGAAATCATCAGGACTGATGGATGACAAACCCGAGCGAGCCCCCAAAAGTCGATTCCTTACTGACGAAATGCCCCATGAAAATAGTCATTATTGGTTTTATTCATTGTCAATGTCAAACTGACCCACGCTAAACCGGCGAGAGCTGTTCAGGATCATTCGCGAAACATAATAAACTACCTTCAATGATTCATGTTCAACAATGAGTGCTGCCTGAGGATCAGGTGGAGCTCGACCCCGCAACGATCCGGGGGCGGTCGAGACTCAATTGCAAGTAGTGCGTTAACAAATCCAGGCTTGGAATCCCGTCAATCGGGGGATGTAGTGAGAGTGGAATTGTATTCCTCGAAACTCATCAGGCTATATGTCCCATCCGAATCTCGATAGAGACAGGGAGCATCGATCAAATTGAAGTAATATTGCCTGTAACCGGGAGGTTAGTGAGGTTCCTGTGAAAATTCGTCTTCCAATCCTGAGCTTCGATGCCGATACATGTGAAAATTCTCAAACAGATGGCCACCTACCGGATCGAACTGGGATCCGAGCTCGCATTCTCTGCTTCGCGAAGGCACTCATCGAACGCCTGCTCGCATTCACACAACAGCGACGCTTTTAAAAACGGCGGTTTCAGTCCGAACCTCGTTTGCCCAGCATAGATTTTTATCGGGCAGAAGTCATGATTTCTGCAACACCGATCGATGTCACTTGACTCGCCAAGGTGAGAGTAGTTCGATGCATAATCACCAGGTCCACACCATAAGGTACCTGCGAGGAATTGAACGACAATATTTAGACCGAAAGAGGAAGTAGGAACTCCTTATAATTGAGCAACGGCAGAAACAGAGTTCTACGACGAAGTTCTTCGTCACGGAATTCTAGGTGACAGCAAGGGCTCGGTCGGTTTCGAGTATTTCGAGCAAGCATCTTGTGAAATCCTACACGCGATGACGCGTTCTGTCGCTGTCGACCGACCTGGATACATTGAGAGCTTCTTCGCCGTCCAACTCCTCTCTTCGAAGAATCCCTCCGCTTCGCCGCATTTTTTGATCAATTGCATCATGTCCTTCAACGGGATATCAGAAGCATTGGGGAATGCTCGGAGGACTTCTTCTCGGTCCTTGTCGCCGCTGAATGGGAGCGAAATCAGAAGATGGAAATTCGAGAACGATGTGGATACTGCGGCTCGTATTTCGCGCTCACAGAGTAAATAGACTAGTCTGTCACATGAACGAACTTGATCAAGGTGAGTCTGCAGGAAGTTCTGTTATCGTCATGGCGAACCTCTGCCACCGTATCGCCTCCGATGAAAACGCTAGCATCCGACCACTGAGGAGTGTTGTTGGTGCGGTAGAACACTCTCGAGCCTTGGTTTAGGCACTTCCCGGAGGTGCAAGCGCGAGACATCACCAGCGCGCCCGCCAGAAACAGCAAACCGGTCCAGCCCAACCGTCTGCGTATCCTGTAGAGTTGTAGAGAACCACGGATTACTGTGTGGAACCGAATTACCCCGAGAGGAAATGGTATCTTCGATACTGAGGGGGCAGACGACCTTGGATATCGGTCCTGTACAACGGTGTTTCATCAAGTCGAGATCCTCGACAAGGAGTTGACCGAATTCAACAGCATACGGGATCTTTCTCTCCAGTGGAAGGGAATGTTCAGAGAGCACCCGTCACTTGCGTTCGAAGCATGGAGTGGTCGGAAGTCTTCCAAAACTATTCAACATACCTTTCTAGCATCGGTAACAATGTAAGGGACTCACATTCTGATAAGTCTTTGTACTTTGTTTGAGGACATCTTCAGCACGCGGTTTATGAATCCCGTCGAAACAGCCTTCGCCCTCATTTGGGAGAGGGGATCTTCACTGCAGGAGCCCGCCCGTTGTATGTCAGACCGCTGAGCCGGCTACCTTCCACGAGTTGACTTCGACGTCAACACACGTAAGGCTCGTCGTTCAATGATTTTATCCGGACTTGGAAGGGCGCCCTGGAGCAAACCGCGATCATGGGAGTCGCTTCAACGCTCTCGAACCCCGATCCCAACAAAAAATCGATGAGTCAATCGAGTACCGTCTGATTCACTGAACGGTTCCCGACGATTTGCTCCCGACGTGAAGAGTGTTTACAGCTCGAACTATTTCAAGGCGGTGGACAACTTCTCCATGTGCTCCGACGTAAGGGTCCCCTCGCAAGGATCGCAACAGAGCGATCGATACGCTCAAAGCTGAGTGAGAGATGCAGACGCATATACGGAGCGTCTCCTCCCTCAGCGGCCGTCATTCTGTTAGCGTAGGTTGAGCGTGGTACCTGTCTAGCCCATGCGTGAATTTAGAGGCGAGCTTAAAATAGTGCTTGAACAGGTGACCCGGAACTCTTTCGGTGGAACATCGTGAGCACCCGTCCATCGCAAAACATCTTTGGAGCACGAGGAAAGAATGCGATTGTGCCGGTGGAGGGGGGAATTTTCGTTGAGGTCATGAGAATCAGAGCACACTCGGCGTATCCCACGGCCGCGTGCGGATATTCTACCGCTCCCTCTGGCATCGCTGATATCGGAAAATTCGAAATCAGCAGCATCCCTTCCTTTTCCCTCGTGAGCTCACGGCTGATATATACTACCATTCTGAACTAGACCTCCTCGTATCCCGAGAAGAGCGTCAGTTGCTTCACCGGATCATTATACTCGATACTCTTCTGATGAAATCTTCCTACCAGTATGCCCGTTTTGATGATACGGAACGAAGAGATGCGTTGAAATACTCTTCGAAATCTTTGTACATTGACGTATGTCAAAGGACGAATCTATCGAGTCTAGACACGGTCGGAGCATCTCCATGCGGCGAATGCTGACGGGAGCCTGTACGTTGGATAAAGCGGAAGTCAATATGATACCAAGGTTGCCTGCTGCGACAATGATGAGCGATGAAGAATGGCCGTTCAATCGGGCTCGACTTAGATCAGCGAGGAGATGTCGCGGGCTTCATGTTCGGAGCATTCTTCTTTCGAGGCGAAGTCCCGCGATCAGCTTTCTCTCATCGTGAAGGACCTCAGGAAGTCGTCTCGAAGCTTGTATTCTGTAGTTGTTCAGAGAAGCCGACGTCGCTCTGTTAGTCTACAGTCTACATGCAGCCTCCTTCTCAGTCAATTCCCCCGTGGAAGATAAGCACGGAGTATGAAGTCATGCTTTCGGGAAGTTTTTCGGAAAATCGACTCGGCCCTATCTGCAGCCCCGCTAACTGACTCCCGCAGTTCAACGCTCAATAAATGCTCCTTCAAAAACTCCGTTCTAGATCAAGGCCATTAACTCGCTCCTCTGAAGTTCCGAGAGGAGCCACCAATAATGGGTAGACCACCTCGGACGCTGCTCCGGCTATCCGAAAACAGAGTTTCGGGACGCTCCCGATCAAGCTCCCGCGGACGTGGTGGGCCCTAGGATTCCTGAGGCGAGATCGGTGGATTCAGGATCGCGAGTTCGGTGTGCAGAGTTATACGGCGAGTGTTCGGTAGCTGTCGCGGTTTTCGTTTCTCCACGGAGATGCTGAGAACCATGGAGCTCATACAGAGACGTACACGGATTCCAAGGGTTTGGTTTCAGGCAAGCTTGACAGTTTTATCTGATCGGGAGAAACAATATACAAATAAGTGCTCGTTTCGACATCGTCTCTCGATCACTTTACGCCCCTCGAGTCCGAGACGGCGAGCCTCCGAGCAGACGTCGCTGGGATTGTTTTCCTTCAATAGAAGTAGGTAGAAGCATCCTCGGTGACTCAGGAGTTCGCTAGCTCGTGGAAGCAGTCGTTTGACGAGGTCTGTTCCCTGCGGACCGCCAGCCCATGCCAGTTTCGTGGCATCGTCCGGAAGCGCTTCCGTCTCCGTCGTGGGAACGTAGGGCGGATTGCATACGAGCAGATCCACTTTCGAATCCAACCTGGAAGGTTGAAATCCACACTGGCTCGTGATCGGGCTCTCGCGCCGTTCTAGAAATTAATGATGTTGTTCCATACAGAAGTGTTGTGGAGTGTACTGAGTACAGACCGTCCGAGGAAGCACGAGTCAAGATCAGCGACAGCAGTCTGAACGCAAGTCTTCTGCTCTGGCAAATGACGTTGCGCCGTGAATTTCGCCGCCTCCGCCGCGATTGGGTTCACATCCGTAGCAAGGAAAGTACAATTCTCCACACATTTAGCGAGCGCCGAGATTACGACTCCAGATCCGCAACCGATCTCGAGACATATTGAGGGTTTCAATTCTCGAATACGGTCCAGGTCGATCTCAAGCGCGTCTATCAAGAGAAACGAGTCCTCTGCGGGATCGTAAACAGACTCCACGGCACTCGTGCGCGGGGTCTCCATGGAATCGAACTCCACTCGAGGCTCCTCGGTCGTCAGAAACATCCATACCACCGGTGGAGTGTAGGCTCAGCTGATCAGCCGGCCGTCTCCGAACTCTCGTTGGCGCTCTCTGATGATGGGAATGCGCTTTCGGAGAACCCACGCAGACCGGTTTTCGGTGATGTTTTCATGTCGAGGCGCGATCCTTGGCGCCAGATTCGAATTTCGTACAGACTGGACTTTTTCCCCTCGCGGATCGCATGAAATTCCACCCGGAAAGCGCAGATCGTACTCTAAGGCACTCAAGGGAAGAGTAAGGTCTGATTTCTATTGGGGATCTCTCAGGAATTATTCGGTCAGTAGCAATGCGGCGCTGAGCAGGGCTCTCGTTCCTGGGCACGAATTCCCCGCTGTCCTGCTTCCTGATACCTCTTGTTGTAGGAAAGATGAGACTTGTCATGGTTATGATCACATCGAATCTTTTCACCATGGATCTTCTGCATCAGATGTGTTCCCACCTCAACCGGGTGTCCGGGCCCATCTATTCGTAAGCCGGGAACCGGCATCCTCATTTCTCGACTCTTCAGACCTCCGGAATTGCGGATGAGTCCGCGGATGGAAGCTTTTCGATCCCGATCACATTCTCGGATGATTCCGAGGCTTGCGCAGAAGTCCTGCGGCAGGACCCCAGGAAAATAGTGGCTCAATATGATGTAGTAGCTGTGGCTCCGCCTCCCCACATTCCCCTTTCCCTCGAATCCACTCTGTTGATTGCGAACATTTCGAACGCGACGAGCCTCAAAGTTCACCCACGTATTCGAGGAGCGTCGTGCCATCCGAAGAACGTCCGGTCTGTCACCGGAAGGTAAGCAACAAGACTCATCATTGTAGACCCATGACGGGGAATTTCTGCAGCTTACTGGTTATCCAGTCTCCGGCGACTGCATCAGCCGCGGATCCGCCGCTCGCGCGGTAGGTGGCGTGGGTCCGATCCCTGCTGACGGCCGAATATCCTCATGGGATTGCCTGGCAGAACAGCACGTCCCCAGCCTTCATTCAATCAGAGGCAATCGCTCCCGGGAGCCGTCTTCCGACGCAATGCCTCATGGGTGATACCCGGGACGTCAGAGTCCGGCTGTGAGGTCCAGCTGGACGTCGCACCGAGTATTATTCGTGGTGAATTATTCGCAATGACCGCGAATTTCCGCGGTTCTCCAAGCGCTGCTTCTGCGGCCACAACCGCCAAAATCCGCTAATTTTTCGGGGACACCTGAGGCAGCGAGAGAAGAGTGAGGAAGACTCTCGAGAACGCGCCGAAGCAATCGGCATATAGTCCTCGTACGATCAGTGATCCGAAGTCCCGTAGCATATGAGTTCTCGCTGCATTTCCTCCGATATTCGACCGTCATACAAGATTCACGGAATACGAGGTCTGCACGAAGAGTTTGACGGTCCCGTCAAGCGCGGCTCCGATCCGAGGGAGAGGGCCATCACGGCTCATTTCTGGCTTGCTGATAGCAATCGAGACAGAGTTGCTTTGCGCGGAACGCAGCGCGTTCATTGCCCAGAGGCTACCTGGAAGTTCGACAATCGACTCCAGTCTCGTGCGTTTGGAGCCGATTCGACCCCGAGCCTGAGAGCTTCCACCCAAAAGGAGAATGCACGCGGCGATGTTTGAGTCAGGAATTCGCTCTCTCCGAGGCGGATGGAGGCCGGGCTCGCCTTCTTGAGCGTGGTCGTGGAGTTCTCCAGTCGATCCCGCCGACTTTTGTGAATGAATCCTATTCGTTAGCCGTCCGAGTCATAATTCGCGTAGATCGAGATTGAGATCATGTTTGAAGCAGAGGTCATGGAAAGCAGCAAATATTATGCTTATTCTGAAATTCGGGGCAGCTCTAGAACAAAGTGCGATTCGTAAGCGGTTTTCCATCTGCGGTTTTGGCATAATCGCGGAACGCTGCTTTCGGAATTCGCGGTCATTTGCGTGGCCCGGGTCCAGCCCGAGAGAGAAGGTACGATGTACGTTGCGGTCTCCAACACCCTCTGAAATAAAGGACCTTCTTCGCTTTCGAAGGAACTCTGCGGCATCACGATGACGAAACGAAGTTTCAAGCGCCTGCCAAGAAGCATCATTCCTAAGAACTATGTGATCACTCTCAAGACGGATTTTCAAAAGTCGGTGTGCCCGGGGTCCGTGAAAATTTCACTGGAGGTAAGGACGACCGCGTGAATCATCAGTATCAGCCACCTGGGCGCCCAAGGACTGAGGACTTGCTTTTCACGTTCCTTCCTCTCTCCAGATAGTAGAAACAACGTCTGTGATTCTCCTGGATGCTCTCGACCTCAAGATACAGACTTGCTCCTTGGAGCTTGCCGACGGAGCGATTTCGAAGCCTAAGGAAATTCGTCTCATGCCAGAAGATGGAAGACTGGAGCTCTCTTTCGAGCAAAATCTGCCTTTGGGTACGTGCAGCTCTGGGCTACTGGGCCCTGACATGTACAGAATGTCGGTACATATGCCTCTACATATGCCCCTTTCTAAATTTCAACTGAATGCTCTTCCCAGGCTCATGCGCTCTATCCATCGAGTTCGAGGGAGAAATTAACACCAGTCTCCGGGGATTTTATAAAACGACACCGAAAGGAGAGCTCCAGGCTATTCCCGAAGCTCACGGCGTCACCCAGTTCGCGGTGAGTTGACTCGCGTGGGCTCTCGGGCTCATCAGAAAATAAACGCCCCCTCTTCAAGGGACATTTCTCATTTTCCGCTCCTCCCCAGGCCACCGAGGCTCGACGGTGTTTCCCCTGCTGGGACGAGCCATCCTTCAAAGCGACTTTCGAGCTGACCTTAATCGTTCCTCAACATCTACAAACCCTCTCCAACATGGATGCGGAGGAAACTACCACGCTTGACGATGGACTGGAAAAAAATTCGTCACCCAAAAACCCCAAAGATGAGCTCTTACCTAGTGGCGTGTTAGTTGAGTTCCCGACAGTTTGCTATGCCTCATGAACATGCCAATAGAATCGAATGAGCTATTCAATGTCGTTCCCTTCTTTTGCGAGCGAAACTCACAAAGCTCGAGACAGGGACGCTACTCATTTTGCCTAAGCTCGAGGTTTTCGATTGTTTTCAGTCGCGATCGGGAAATACGATTTCTTGGAGTCGTCGACAAAATCGAACGTTCGAGTTCGTGTTTACGCTCCGAAAGGGATGGGGGAACTCGGCGACTTCGCTCTGAAGTTCGCCGTGAAATCATTGGAATTCTATGAAGATTATTTTTCCGTGAGTGGCGACAGACTCCTCTTTCGATATAGACTGACAATGTTGATTTTCTCCAATAAGATGCATCGTCGCATGCGAGGAGAATCATGACGACTTCTCAGCATTCTCCCCTTGATTCCAGATTCCTTACCCGTTACCGAAGCTCGATCTCCTGGCCGTGAATGATTTCGCCTACGGCGCCATGGAAAACTGGGGCCTCGTAATCTTCAGGTAAACTCGACGTCGGACTCGTTTCGCCGCAGTTGGTCGCCTTGGATTCGTTTACTTCAGAGTCCCTCGATCGGGAAGTCCCCAGATAAGGAACCTTCTCATTAGAGCCCATCCGGATAAGGTTCCCTCGCAGTGTTCGGGGGAGCGGCGGGCTTTCCATCGACGGTGTCGAGGGCGTCAGAGGATGATTCACAACCAGTAATCTATGTTTCAGACAAAGTCGACTCCTGTTTGATGAATTGCGTAGTGACTCTTCGACTAGAGAGGACGTATCTCTTGTCGTGGCTCACGAACTTGCGCATCAATGGTTCGGGAACATCGTCACCATGGTTCGAATCGTTCCCGAAAACTTTAGTGGCTCCATTCGTAGCCCTCGTGTAGTATACCGATATTCCCGGCAGATGGATGAGTATTTTCCCTTCCTGCAGGAATGGTGGACTCATCTGTGGCTCAACGAGGGCTTCGCACAATTCATGGAAATCCTATGCACGCAAGCAATCAGTCCGGAGCTTGGCGTTTGGTCGCAGCTTTCGCTCGAACTCAACACTGCCTTGACGGTGCGGTGTCGTTTACCTTATTTCTGACGCTCGAAATATGTTTCCCTGCGGACATCAGCAGAACTTTCCGTGTGACGGTTCTGAACCATCGCGGGGCTCATCCCCTTTCTCTGACTTTGTTCGCATTCCAGCTCGATGCGCTCGATAGCTCCCACCCCATTGAGGTCCCAATACATCATCCATCGGAAATTGATGAAATTTTCGATAGAATTTCCTACAGCAAAGGCTCGGCGATTATATCCATGCTGTACCACCACATAGGTGATGAGGTGGGTCGATTTTGCTCGGAGGGAGGCGATTCCCCCCCGCATGCGCCGTGTGCCTTCCTCGTGGTCGGTCCCACTGAAGCCGATCCCCTCCACATATTGTTATCCAGATTCGATAGAGTTATTAGACTATGATCCCTCAACATGACACGACTAATAGAAAATATATTTGAATTTACAGAAGTTTCGCAAAGGAATGGCGAGGTACCTCAACAAACACGAATACGGTAATGCTCAGACGGAAGATCTGTGGCACGCTCTACAGACTCCGGAGGAGTCATCGGTCCTCGATTTGATGCAGCCGTGGACGTCCCAGATGGGCTTCCCTCAGCTCTCCGTGAGTTCAGAAAATGCTTCCCTCTGCCTCCGATTATTTGTGTCCGATAGTCTGGCTTCATCGAAGCTACGCCTCGTACGCCGAAGGGATGATTTTAGCCCCTCGCTCCTGCAGGTGAAAATGGTTGACGGAGATCTACTCATTAGCCAAGAGAAGTTCTACTCGACCGCTGAGAATGCCCAGAAGGCCGTCATAAAGCCAACATGGAAGGTGAGCTCCTCGTATCCGCCTTTTCGTTTTATCTTACCTTCAAGACCTACGCATTTCGAAAGTGTTGCTTTGATCTCAAGTCCGATCGAATTCGTAGGTTCCCGTGAGCATTGCTACCAACGCTTCGGCCGCACCGATCAGAGTTGTTCTTGAAAACGACTCCACCACTGTGAAGCTGCCGACGGGGGTCGAATGGGTTCATGTAAGTTGCAAACACCCTACCTCAGTGTTCGAGGGATTTAAGGCGCACTCGTCTGATTGTGGACTTCCCTCATCACTGCGAGGGCTTATAACATATGAAGATGACTTTCCTCAAAGGTGAACTCAGGAGGTACCGGCGTCTTCAGGACACTATACGAAGAATCCATGTTCAACAACCTCCTGGTGGCCTTGAAGAACAAAGAGCTCACCAACGACCGAGATCGTTTCGTCATCCATGCGGATCTTTCAGCCCAGGTGGGTGAGAGTGTTCTTTAGAGGGGGATCCGATCAGCGAGGAATTCGTGTCGTCAGCGATCATTTGGCAAGCGTCGCATATCGCTCGCCTCTGACAAGGGATCAATATCGGGAAAAATTAGTTTTATTGTTTCGCGCTCCGCAGGTCGCCGCAAATTATCGGAGCAGCGCACAGCTCCTACAACTCACGTCCATTTTGAGTGACGATGAAAGCTACATCGTTTGGGTGTCGATCAGAGGAGCACTCAGAGAGCTGGCTCTCGTTTACCAGACCGACCGAGATCTACACGAATCGATTGCCCGCTTCGCACGACAAGTATTCTCGAAAATCTTCGCTCTACTCGGATGGGATGAGTCTCCAAAGGACGGTGCGTCGGTCATCCCCGAATGACAGGTAGATCCTTCGGAGGGGAGGAGCAACATGTATCTGAGAGGTTATCCCATTCGCATTCCAGATCATTGTCGAGCCCTTCTGAGGACTTTGGTGATCGATGCTCTGATAGGTTTCGATGACAGAGACGTAATAGCGGAAGCAGCGAAGAGATTCCGAGACAGCTTGGCGGGCGAAGCCTCTCTGTCCGGCAACCTGAAAGCCGCCGCTTACAGAGGATTCGCGAAGTCAGGCGACAAGACTGTTTGGGACACCCTATGGCAAATGTTCCGAACGGCTGGAATGCAAGAAGATGAAGTCAAAATATTGCTTGCATTGGGCTCTTCGAACGATGAGGGAACGATCCAGAAACTCTTGGATTCGAATCTCACCGATGAGGTACGGTGTCGGGATCCGGTGTGCCCTCGCCTTACAAGGGGTCGCCGACCCGATCATGATTACGGACGACATATGATATCGATAATAAATAATTACTGGGTATTCATTTTCATCCTGAGCGTAGTTTCGTTCATCGCGTAGTACATACTACTACTCCCATTCTCTCTCGACTTTCAGATTCGATCTCAGCAGGGTCCGCAAGTCATTAGGGCTATAGCGCAAACCTCGAAGGGTCTCCCGATGCTCTGGCAACATTACACCAAGTGGCATGAGAAGTACGCCATTATTCATTCTGTAAGGTCGGGATCCTTCGAGTCATCGGATTTGTTCACGCGTTCTAATTCCTTCTGAATGTCAGGTACAACGAGAGATTCAATGCGGGAATTTTGCTACCCGCTTTCATCAAGGCGCTCACCGGGAGCTTCAGTACCGAGTCGATGGCTAGCGAGATCCGGTCTTTCTTCGAAAAGGTTCGTTACCATCAGATGGCATCTCCTCTACTCCATCGTAGTCCTCCAAGACAGACCGGGGATTCATGTCGTCCCCCCTCCTTCGATTGGATGTCTCTCACGACCTCTCATTCGCCTCCTACAGAATCCTCTGTCCGGAACTGAACGCTCGCTCCTCCAATCGCGAGAAGAAATACTCAGACGAGCTGCCTGGCGAGATCGGGACGAGCAATCGCTCAGGAATTTCTTCAGCAAGCCACCTTCGAACCTTTGATTTTTGTGACGAAGCGCTTGCGAAAACTCTGTCATCCTCGAGAACGCATTGAAAAAAGCACAGAGTCCAAATGAGACAAGATTCGTTTGAGGAAACAGCGTGGGATTACGCAGGAACCCTCGAGGAAGGAACTCTCGATCCATC